AGGTTTTCTTTCAGAACTATGCGTGTACTTCATCAAGAGATGATAATAAATAAAATCTGGCAGCAGTAGTATTTAACTTAAAAAGGACATTTGAAAAGCTAATCCTTATTAATTCAAGCATAAGGCTGTTTTCAAAGGTTTATTTATATTTTATTAAATCGAAAAGTAGGATATTAGAGAGAGGGAGAGACATTTTCTATCTGCTGGTCCACTCCTCAAATGGCTGCTACAGTCAGGGATGTGCCAGGCAAAAGCCAAGATACAGGTCCTCTATCCTAGTCTTCCATGTTGGTGCAGGGCCTATTTACTTGGGCCGTCTCTTGATTTTTCCCAGTTACATTAGCAGGAAGCTGAGTTCAGAAGCAGAGCAGCCAGTACTCAAATCAGCACTCTAGTATGTGTTACCAGTGCTGGCGTGGCAAGCAGCAGCTTTACCAGTTGTGCCACAATAGCAACCCAAACAATTTTCTTTCTGGAATAGCAAAGGTTAGAATAGGTTAGATTTATTAAATTTTTATAAGATATAAAAAAGAGTAAGTGTATGATGAACATGGAAAAGTTGGCTATATTTTGGCTTACTAGAAGTAGGAAACTCAAATAAAATATGAAGAAAAAAATCTCAACAACTTAGGGCCAGTTTAGAAAAGAACAGTACTTTGCATACAAGAATATTCACCTACCTAGGAGATCATACGGGCTAACAACATGTATCTAGGATCAACATAATTGAAATAGAATAATAAATGAATAATAATGCATATAATAGGACTTCTAAGTAAAATGGCTACATGCATACACATGTGTTTTTTAAAAGTCTTTTCTCACTTAAGTGAACAAAAAGAACCCAAAAATAGAAAATTTACTTTTCCAGAAACTAAATAAGGTCCCCAACTGAAACTGCTAGCTGTAGTTCCACTCTTTCTCATTACAGGTTAAAACTTTATTTTTATTTGTCAATGATGCTATAACAAAGAAATTCCTTACTTCCTGGTACTGTATTTCTGCACAGTGGATTCTGAAAAGTAGAATTACAAGATCCAAGTGTGTGTGTACATATATATAAATATATATTATATATACATATATACATAATATATGTATATAAGTAATATGTATATATATATACACAGATAGGTGAAATTTTTAATAATTACTTTCAGATTGCTTATTCAGGAAAAGTAATCTCCAGTGAGCAGTATGTATATGAGACTACTTACTTCACCATCCAGATTTTCCTTACTTTAGTTTTGAATAAAGTTATATGAACAAAAAATGCCTTAACTTTAAAGCATATTAAACTATAAAAATGGTAATAATTATTATTTTTTGAGGTCTTGTACACCAGTACTCAGCTAAAGTGCTTATCTTGTTTTTGCCACCAAATTATTTTTGCTGTGGAGCACAAAGGCAAATTTAAAAAATACTTCCACTACTTTAAAAATAATACATTTATTTTTGGGATAATGAGATTATCAGCTATAAAGAAAAATACCCCCTTTTTGTATAAAGTCTTTCTAGGTACATAATATACACTTTTAGATTTAGTGAAATAAGGCAATGAAAATAATTTATAGAGAAAGGTTATTAGCCATGGACCTTACCATCAGTCAGTAACATGTCTCAGAGTTCATTAGTGATTGTTGCTAACCCAAAATCAGCCCTTTAAGCATTAGTTCTGTGTGACACAGAACAACTTCTAAAACTGGTAGGAAGAGTCGCCACAGATCCCCTAAAACTGGTTCTGCTCACCCATCAGGTGGCGAGCTAGTCACTGGCATTGCGTTGGTGGAAGCAAGGAGGTGTTTCTTGCAGTACAGGGCAAGGAGCTGGGCAGGTATTACCTAATTCCTGGGCTCCCTGAGGGTTAAGGAAGAAGGTTCTTGTGGGGAGCAGGGTCCGTCTCCCGCAACATGGCGGGGCGGCCGGGAGACATATAAGTACTGAGACTGTGGACTGAAACTAACTCTATGCGTCTGATCTCCCACCACATGGTGCTGAGAGAGAGTAAACAAATCTTACACAGCTGCTTCGTTAATTAGCTGATTCCTGACCCAACCCCTGTTTGGAGGAAAGCAGCGTGCTCAGCACGTGGGCAGCAGAGCAAGGATTGGTGGGAGAGGACTATAAAAGAGAGAGAGAGCCAACATGCGGGGCCTCCTGAGAGAGTCCGTGGGAGAGCTTTCCGGTGCGCTCCTCCGCGGAAGTGGGGGAGTGGCAGCAAATCGGGGAAGGACCGGGGAAAGAAAACAGCGTCCGGTCCGGTCGTTCCTCCGCAAGTGAGGGAGCGACAGTTGTTAGGACTGACACTGGGGCTGAGAGATGCATGTTGGGTTCCTGTTCAAGTTCCTAGTGGTCAGTGGTGCTTGTTGCCTTCATTTGATCAGGAGGACTGTGTTCTTCAGGGAATTTATATTATGGGCTTCAGTCAGTCCGGGGCTCCCTGCAGGTAATAGTTATTTTCTTCTCTCTAGCTGAAATTCCACAAAATGAAACGCCTCAAAGCAATACCGACAATGAAGGTGTTACCTACTAGAGAAACAAATGACCTCATGAGTCCAGTGACTAGAACCTTGTAGGGCCAGCTGCACCATTCCCTCAGTTCAGTGAATTGATGTTAGTAGTGGTTGATTTGCCTTCAGACGGCAGGGCAAGGGCACTCTAAGCTAAGGGAAGGAGGCTGGGAGACTGGAGCCTGATGATATCTAGCATTTGCATTCAAAGTACTATCCAGGGACTCGGTTTCACTTGCAGCCATCAGTAGTAACTGTACCTTTCCTGTGAGGAAATTTGATACAGGCAAGAGATTTTATGAGAATATATACATACTTAATATAGCTGCACCATAGTTTATGGAAGTGATTGACAGCAGTGCCAGAATATGAAAAGAAGTTTTTGAATTGTAAATGATTGTTAAACTCATTGAAATGGTCTTACTGATGATAGTTTGTGCCAATCCAAAGTTAGCATCCCCATATGTATCAATCTTATGAGAAAATTTATCCACATACTTTATGGATTCAAGCAACATTTAAACATTAAAACATTAATATTGCATTATTATAATTAGTCAATACTTTGAAATGAAATTCAACTTTTTCATAGAAAATATACAGTCATTATATGAGTTGGCTATAAAAGTCAATAGAAATCTTTCCATAGTTAGGGTTTTTTAAATGGTGAAATTTTACCTGTGGCTTTTAAGTTCACTTATAGATGAGCAGTACACTATAGATTGTGTACTCCTTAAAACATTTTTAAACTTCATGATTTCTTTGCTTAATTGTGGCATTAGTGCATCCACAGAGTATTAAAATCATAATAGCCTATTCTGGATTTTTAATATTAACACTGTAACTCTTACAAGTTTTATTTGCTAAGCAAATAAAAATGCTTAGAAGTGGTTTGGTCATTATAAATAGGCGATACTAAGGCGATTTTGAAATTATAGTTCAAACTTGACTTTAGTGGACATCCCGTTGCCTTTTTGAGGTGGGGTGGAAGTACTCACTGTATTGGGGATTGCCAGGTCAGATTCTTCTATTTTATTTTTTTAAGATTTATTTATTTGAAAAACAGAGTTACAGAGAAACAGAGACAGAGAGACAGAGGAGAGATCTTCCATCCACTGGTTTATTCCCCAAATGACTGAAATGGCTGGAGCTGAGCCGATCCGAAGCCAGGAGTCAGGAACTTCTTCCAGGTTTCCCACATGGCTGCAAGGGCCCAAGCGCTTGGACCATCTTCCACTGATTTCCCAGGCACATTGGCAGGAGTTGGTTCAGAAGTGGAACAGACTGGACTAGAACTGGCACCCATATGGGATGCCAGTACCACAGGCAGTGGCTTTACCACTGTGTAACAGCACCATCCTGAAATTCTAGTACTCATAAGACATGCACGTATATCACTGTGGATTTATAAAACAAGCTGCTATACATTCAAATGTAGTTTTTTGGTTTGTTAAGATACTATGGGAATTACGTTGCAAGTGATTAGATGATGAGATGATTTGGGAGGAATAAGAACATAACATGTTAATTTCCCTAAAGTTGTGACAACACACATTTGTATATTCAAATTTGACAATTTTTTGGATGTAAGAAAACTGCAATCTTAGGATAAGAGAATATAATATACTTAACACTAAACTTATTTCATAAATTGGTATTTTTCTTTGTCTATTTTCTGTTGATAAAATAGAATACCTGAGGCTGGGTGATTTATAAAAAAAGAGATTTATTTAGCTCATAGTTCTGAAGGCAGGGAAGTTCATCTGCGTCTGATGAGGACCGTGAGCTTCATCAACTCATGGTTGGGAAGTAGAAAAGGAAAGCATTGGACATGGCCTCCTATTACATGCACTCTTGGGAGACAGCCAGGCCTTTTAGAAAGGCATAAATCAATCTTAACAACTTCATCACCTCTTAAAGGTCCCATTTACTAACACTGTCACTCTGAGGAATTTAGCCTCAACATGAGTTTTCATGGGAACAACCCATATTCAAACAATAGCACTATTATTAATTATTGTTTGTATCTACTCCATATTTTACCTTTCTGAATAACATGGACTTCTAAGTTTGTTTTAAAAATATATAAAAGGTGGCCAGTGCCGCGGCTCACTTGGCTAATCCTCCGCCTGCGGCGCCAGCACCCCAGGTTCTAGTCCTGATCGGGGTGCTGGATTCTGTCCCAGTTGCCCCTCTTCCAGTCCAGCTCTGTGCTGTGGCCCGGGAAGGCAGTGGAGGATGGCCCAAGTGCTTGGGCCCTGCACCCGCATGGGAGACCAGGAGAAGCACCTGGCTCCTGGCTTCAGATCAGCGCAGCATGCCAGCCATGGCGGCCATTTGGGGAGTGAACCAACAGAAGGAAGACCTTTCTCTCTGTCTCTCTCTCTCACTGTCTAACTCTGTCAAATAAATAAAAAAAAAAAATGTTTAATTCTTTTGAACAATTGCACTAACTAATCAGAGAATTCACATTTTCTCCCTCTCTGATAGATATGGAGTCTGGAGAACGGTTACCATCCTCCACAGCCTCCTCTACGACACCAACTTCATCTTCTACACCTTCTGTGGCTTCAGCAGTTTCAAAAGGCGGCCTTTCCACTGGAGCTGCTTCACTTAGCTCTACAATCAACACATGTGGTGAATACCCTTCATTAACTCAATTTTACAATACTCTGCTTTTATACTTTTTGCATCATAATGTTTATTGATCTTTGAATAAAATATTCTCATGACCTCCAGGAACCTGTTGAACGATGGCTTTTAAAGATCTCATCTGTTTGCCTTTTTTTCTGGATTTTGCACTGAAGTATCACTTATTATTCCATGCTTATTAGAAACTCTTTCTGAGAATTTAACCTTATTGTCTTAGTTTGTTTTGCCATTTTAACTAATAAACTGTCAAGGGTAAAGTCTTTTTAAACAATAGGCCCATAAGGGATCCTGAGGAAATACAAAGGAGTCCTTCTTGGTAAGGACTGCACCAGTGCTATAGACCCTTTGCCCTAAATTTGTTTTCCAGTTTTGAAATGACCATCACAAGCTCCATTACCCCAGTTCACAGATGTGTACTAATATACATCATTTACTTGATGGGAAAAATTTTTTTTTTTTTGACAGGCAGAGTGGACAGTGAGAGAGAGATACAGAGAGAAAGGTCTTCCTTTTGCCATTGGTTCACCCTCCAATGGCCGCCGCGGCCAGCGCGCTGCGGCCGGCGCACCGCGCTGATCCGATGGCAGAAGCCAGATACTTCTTCTGGTCTCCCATGGGGTGCAGGGCCCAAGCACTTGGGCCATCCTCCACTGCACTCCCTGGCCACAGCAGAGAGCTGGCCTGGAAGAGGGGCAACCGGGACAGAATCCGGCACCCCGACCGGGACTAGAACCCGGTGTGCCGGCGCCGCAAGGCGGAGGATTAGCCTAGTGAGCCGCGGCGCCGGCCCGATGGGAAAAATTTTTAAAACTTGGAATATGACAAGTTTAAGTGTGAACAAAGTTTATGTTACTAAAAAGACATAAGGTAAAAATATTCCCAATTTTGATCAGTTATGTACATGGTATCTTTAAGTAATGCCCCAAATATTCTTTGCCCTTTTACACAGGTTTGGTATAATATTTTCTGTTGTTTTTTCTTAAATATCTAAACTAGATTAACTCATTCCTTTATTAGTAGGAAACACTTTAATCTTAAATATTTTTTATTTTTTAGATTATTTCATTTTTTTTTTTAATCTACCTTTTGATTGGAAAGGCAGAGTTACAGAGAGCCAGAGAAAGAGAGGGACAGAGAGAAAGAGAGAGAGAGAAAGAGAAAGAGAAAGAGAAAGAGAAAGAGAAAGAGAAAGAGAAAGAGAAAGAGAAAGAGAAAGAGAAAGAATCAGTCTTCCATCTGCTAGTTCACTGTCCAAATGGCCACATCAGCCAGAGTTGGGCCAGGCTAAAGCCAGGAGCCAGGAGCTTCTTCCAGGTCTCCAATATGGGTGTCATGGGCCCAAGCACTTGGGCCACCTTTCACTGCTTTCCCAGGCCCTTATCAGGGAGCTGGATCAGAAGTGGAGCAGCCGGGACACAAACCAGTGCTCACATACAGGATACCAGCCTTGCAGCTGCAGGCTTTACCCACTACACCACAATGCCATTCCCATTTCATGTTTATAAACAGTAGAACTAAATGATATTTTACTTTTATTTTATTCATTTATTTATTTATTTATTTATTTTGACAGGCAGAGTGGATAGTGAGAGAGAGAGACAGAGAGAAAGGTCTTCCTTTTGCCATTGGTTCACCCTCCAATGGCCGCTGTGGCCAGCGCGCTGCAGGCCCGCGCACCACGCTGATCCGAAGGCAGGAGCCAGGTGCTTCTCCTGGTCTCCCATGGGGTGCAGGGCCCAAGCACTTGGGCCATCCTCCACTGCACTCCCGGGCCACAGCAGAGAGCTGGCCTAGAAGAGGGGCAACCGGGACAGAATCCGGCGCCCCGACCGGCACTAGAACCTGGTGTGCCGGCGCCGCTAGGCAGAGGATTAGCCTGTTGAGCCGCGGCACCGGCCATGATATTTTACTTTTTAAGATTAGGTTTATAATTTTTATAAATAAAATGCGTAATATGGAATTTTTACTTAAAAATATCCTAGCAAATTTTCATAGCTAAACTTTCACTTATTTTGATTTGCCTAATCCATGGAATGATAAAGGGGTGTCCTTTTGTCACTGGATTACCACAGAACAATTTTTAAAAATTGTTTTGTAATTATGATTATAAAATAACTAAAATGTGGTTTTTAGAATTAATATAGCCCATTTTTTCCTACAGCTTATACAGTCTTCATCAAGTAATTCAACAAATTTTATTTAAAATGATGGTTCGACCTTAAAGTTCATTGATAATATGCTATGCTCAAGATATTGATACCACAATTGATGCTTTACTGTAGAGTGCTTGTCTAAATCATTGTACCCTGTTGCATTATTGTAATTACTCTTTCATTTTTTATAAGTCTTCTTCTTTCTTTTATTATCAGTTCCTTTCTATGTGTTCTTCTAATTTATTCTCTTTCTTTTGATTTATTTCAAAATCAGTCATGGTATTTCTGGAGAAATATCTTTATCATGCTGAAGGTTTCCATAACATCTTTGAATATGCAACCTTGAGTTTTCTGAATTCATGATGCTGGAATTTCTTAGAATTCTTTTTAGACATATGTGGGGCACTGTTCTTTGTTACTGGTGCTTGGAAGTTGCATAAGGGATGGGGTATGCTACTAGTACCTACATAAATCTTGTCCACAAAGATTTTTTTAATCGTTTATTTGCTAATAAAAGAGTTCAGCTTTTATGTTAAGATGCTTTCATTGAATGACAGTAGTTTATTTACTCAGAAATATATTACTTATTAACATTACATTTTTAGTACCTACAGCATGAGTTTTTTCACTTTCTTGGTTACATGATTTTTTATTTAAACTTTCACTATGTTGTAGTTCATGTTTAAAATGCAGCATTTCATTCCCTTCCAAAACACATAAGTTACTTAACAGAACACTTGGTTGTCCTGTATAACTCAGTTTATTATATTTTCCTTTCTTGTTTGATTTGTTGTTTTTGGCCTATATACTGCCTGATAAATCTCTGTATTTTAAAATAAAGTCAAAAAGCAACAATGGGCCCAATCACTCTTTATTTTATAATAACTATATATATATATTATTTTACTTGAAAACAGGGATATTAAAATCACTTAACAGAGAATTGGAACAGTGATCCAACCACTTTATGTTTAACAATTTGATCTCCAATGTTTATGGTACATAGAAACAACAAAACAAAATTTTTGTTTTTAAAGTGCAAAACCTCAACAGTTTTCGACTGGGCCTTCTGATATCATTTTGTTTTAAACAATTATTTTCTTTTAGAGAAACAGTAATTTCTCAGTCATCTTCATCAGTAGTGTGTCAGAATTCCTCTGAGTTATAAAGGATGTAATTCAAACCTACTTTCAGTCTTTAATTGATCAACTATTTTCTATTGAAACAACACCTTGTCAGGATCAAGATTATACCTACTTAGGATTTACATTGTTACCATAATAAATGCCAGCATAAGACATGAGACTCCTAGATCAGAGATTCTGTTGCTTGTGGAACAACAAACAGCAAAACACAAGAATTATGTTGACATCAATTATCTGTGTCCATCTAAATGCCTAAAAACAAATGCAAAAATTCAAGAAACAAGAATAAGGAAGAAACCAGGATCCCCCCAAAAGAACACAACAACATTTTTTTTTTTTTTTTTTTGGACAGGAGAGTGGATAGTGAGAGAGAGAGAGACAGGGAGAAAGGTCTTCCTTTTTGCTGTTGGTTCACCCTCCAATGGCCGCCACAGCTGGCGCGCTGCAGCTGGCATACTGTGCTGATCCGAAGGCAGGAGCCAGGTGCTTCTCCTGGCCTCCCATGGGATGCAGGGCCCAAGCACTTGGGCCATCCTCCACTGCACTCCCTGGCCACAGCAGAGAGCTGGCCTGGAAGAGAGGCAACTGGGACAGAATCTGGCACCCAGACCGGGACTAGAACCCAGTGCACCGGTGCCGCTAGGTGGAGGATTAGCCTACTGAGCCGCGGCGCCGGGCATAACAACATTTCAATACTAGAATACAAAGATGAAGATATTGAGGAAATGCTGAAATGGAATTTAAAAAGTAATCATAAGATTACTCAGAAGTAATCAGAAGTAAATCCATGAGTTAAAGAAAACTATAGATGACATGAATGAAAATTTTCCCATGAAATTGAGATTTTAAAGAGAAATCAAAATGAAATATTAGAAATGAAGGATTCAATAGAGCAAATAAAAAAATGCAGTGTAAAGCCTTAACAGCAGACTTGGTGATGCAGAAGAAAGAATATCCGAACTAGAAGACAAATCTTTGGAAATCTTACAGACAGACCTAAATAGATAGATAGATAGATAGATAGATAGATAGATAGATAAGAGGAAGAAAATAGAAAACTTAAAAACAGTGTTGGAGACTTTTGGGTCAAACAACCCAACATATGGGTCTTACGAGTTCCTGAAGGTGTGGAATGAGAGAATGGGCTACAAGTCCTATTTAGTGAAATAATTACAGAAAACTTTCCCAATTTGGAGAAAGAAAGGGACGCCCAAGTAGAGGGAGTACATAGAACTCCTAACAGACATGACCAGAAAAGATCTTCACCATGACACATTATAGTCAAACTTTCCACAGTAAAATGTGAAGAAAAGATTCTAAAGTGTGCACGAGAGAAGCACCAGATTACTTTCAGAGGATCTCCAATTAGACTCACAGCTGACTTCTCATTAGAAACCCTACAGGCTAGAAGGAAATGGCAAGACATAGTCAAGTCTTAAAAGAAAAAAAAAACTGTCAACCCATAATACTGTACCCCACAAAGCTCTCATTTCTGAATGAAGGTGAAACAAAGACCTTCCATAACAAACAGATGTGAAATAATTTGTTGCCACTCATCCAACCTTACAAAAGATGCTTAAAGATGTGTTACACACAGAAACACAGAGATAGCCATCATTATGAAAGAATGAGAAGGCAGAAAATCTTCCAGTAGAAGTATAAAAGAAATACAATGTAATCAATAGGA